AGAGTCAACCCTTTACCGAAGATTAATAAACCTTCCAATCGAAAAGGCATAAGGGTCAACCGTTCCGCGTAGATTAATATACTCTTCGACTTAAAAAGTATAAGAGTAAATCTCTATGCGTAGAATAATAAACTCTTTTAAGTTGAACAGTAGAAGAATCAACCCTTTACCAAAGAGTAATAAACCTTCCAATCGAAAAGGTATAAGGATCAACCATTCCGCGTAGATTAATATACTCTTCGACTTGAAAAGTATAAGAGTAAATCTCTATGCGTAGAATAATAAACCCTTTTAAGTTGAACAGTAGAAGCTTCAACCCTTTGACGAAGAATGATAAACCGTTCGATTGAAGAGGTATAAGTATCAAGGACAATAGGTAGAATAATAAACCCTTCGAAGAAAACGGCAAAACAATCTATCCTTAGGCGTAGAACAATGAACTGTTTCTTAGAAAGGTAGCACAATCTACCCAGAAGGGCATAATAATAAACCCTTTTAAGGAAAAAGCATAATAATAAATCCGAAACCGTATAATAAAATACTCTCGTCCTGAAACCATAGAATGATCAATCATCATTCGTTGAAGCACATACGGTAACCTCGAAAACGTAGAATAAGATACCCTTTTGCATTGATGATAAACGCCTTGAACTTTGATAAACGTATCGTTTGATGAACGCTTTGACTAATAAACCCTAAAAGAGTTTATCTTGTTGTAATATACCCTTTAAAGGTTTATCAACGAAATTTTTAAGTACTAGGGTAGATTATTATTCGGATTTTTTTTTCAGTGTAGTCAAGGTCATATAGTAGCAAGTAACAATTATTTATCATACCAACAACGTATACAAACAAAACAAACAGTCATCGATATTTTGGATTCAGGTCGACCTCAACATATTCGTCGTAATACAGATCGTTTAATAAAGATTGCATCACATTTTTGTTATTATGCAGTCAACAAATGATTGCTATTCGTGGTCATAATGAAAACGAAGAGTAATTGCTACATTTTTCTTTTTAAAGAATGATTAGATTGGTTTATTTGTTTAGTTCATTAAATCGTGGTAATTTATTAGAAATTCTACGTTGGTCTTCTCTGACTGATCCAATTAGTAGAGAAATTTTGGAAGATACTAACAAAAATGCAACTTATTTATCTCATCACATCCAGAATGAACTTATTAGCATCATGGCAAACCAAATTCGTACTCAAATCAGTGAACAAGTAATTAATTTTTTGCAATACTTTATCAAGAAGTAATCAATTATTTTTATCTTCGTCTTTAGGTTAAAGGAAAAGTTTTTCGTTAATGGCTGACGAATCACGTGATATTAGTGGCCATGAGCAACTATCCATTGTTATTCGTGTAGTAATTGATTCACCTGATACAAAAGCTGATCTTGTTAAAGAGTATTTTATGAGACTTATACGTTTACATGAGTTTGATGCGAAAAGTTTATCATTGAAAATTGTTGAATTTTTGGAGCAGTGCAACATTAAATTAGATTCATGTATTGCTCAATGTTACGACGGGTAGATCAATTTTGTTACATGTTTAGAATGAACTACAAATTTTATTTTTTTTAGGGCAAGCGTAATGTCGGGTAAATCTGCAGGTTTACAAACAATTATGCGCGAAGAATATATGCCAAAAGGTGTATATATCCATTGTTGCACACATAGATTAAATTTGGTGATTGTTGATGTGTGCAAAGTGGTGAATTATATTGGTGAATTTTATTCGATCATGTCTTCAATCTATCCGTTTTTTATATGTTCTGGTGTTGCAAATGAATATTTTCTTGATGCACAACAAAAATTAAAACTAGGTAAATATACTCTTTTTCTTTTATTGTTTACTTTACACATAGACAGTTTATTTTAGAAACAACACAATTAAAATTGTGGTCTGATATCAGATGGGATTTCAGGTGGGATTCGATTGATGCATTAATTAGGAATTACTCAGCTTTTGTTCAAACTTTTGATGATATTATTGAAGAAGAAGATACACGTTCAATTAATGCTAGTGGCCTGCTTATTGCTGTTAAAGAACCAATTTTTGTTGTGACATTATTTGTTTTATATAAATTAATGGGTCCGATTAAGATCTTATCAAATCAACTTAAAAGTGAATCTTTGAAATCAATATTAATTAATTGACTATTTCTGTTTTATTTAGGTGCGACAATTGATTATGGCAAAGCTCATAATTTGATTTCAACTATTATTAAAGAAATTCAAAATTGTCGTAATGAAAGATCATTTGAATTTATTTATAATCAAGTTGTTGGATTTAGTTAAAAAATATGATATTGATTTAAAACAAAAAAGAAGAAGAGGTCGAGTACGAACAATATCTGCTCGTTTTTATAATTCAATTATTACAAGTACTATTGGTCATCGAGATGATGACAATAATGATGAACATCGATTTCGAGCAAGCATAGTTTATCCTTTGATTGATAGTATATTGATCGAATTGGATGACAAATTCTCGAATACAAATTTGGATCTATTGAAAAGTTTAGCAGCTATGTATCAAGAAAGTGAACAATTTTTAGAATTTAAATCATTATGTTCATTAGCTGATCATTTAAATTGTGATCTGAACTAGTTACAGAATGAATTGAATGTTATTAAACCAATGATAAAAGATGAAAAATTAAAATCCACCATTGAATTATATGAGAAATTAAGACCATATAAAGAAGCATTTCCAACAGTTATGTCTATGATTACTGGAGCACTTACCATACCTGTTTCTTCAACAAGTTGCGAACGTAGTTTTAGTAAGATGAAGCTGATCAAGCGATACACAAGAAATACAATGAATTATTCAAGATTGAGTGATATGTGCTTATTAGCGGTAGAAAGAGGTTTTGAAATAGACTTCGAAAAAATAATCGATATTTTTTCGCTAAATCATGGAAATAGTCGAATATTATTACGTTAAACTTGATCTAATAAATAAACAATTTAAACATTTTCACTTCTTTTCGTTGTATATCACTATTTCTATGGTAAAAATATATTACGCTAGCATAGTTTGAACTTTAGCTGGGACCGGGGCTGAGCCCCCTCTACAATTTTTTTCTGGCTCCACCACTACTAACTAAAACTATCTACACCCTTGAGCAAAAGTCTTCCCCCGCCTCCTTGTCCTTTTTCAACAAATTTTACTATATTACTATGAGAACCAAACACGGTGGTGCTCGGGCCATATAAAAGGGAACCCCCAATAACTCTTGATCGGTCCAAACAACACCATGTTTTGTCATTACAGTAGTAAAAAAAAATTATGATGACTAAATTAGAGTTTACACCCTAATTTTATGATTTTCGATCTTCTTTTCCTGATAAGATCAAAAAATAACTTATTGCTACAGTCTGAATCTCACAACAACTTTTATATAAACTTTGAAGAGATTTAAAAAATGTTTTTCTAAGAATTTTAAGATTTGTTCTATTTCGTTATGAAAAAAAACAAAATCACGATGAAGATAAAAATGCCTGTAGATTCAATGAGCCTTTAGAAATTTGTCGCGCTCTGAACAAAACACGAGAAGACCTCGAAAAATCGCTGCTGTTATTGTTGTTTAGACTTTGCCCGACACTGATTGTAAAATTCTGTTATTTACATATTTATAAATTTTGAACGGATCCTGACCTGAACCCAGCTGAAAACATGAGGAAACTGTTTCATTCATTCTTCCTGGGTTCCTGACAGAACCCTGAAAGTTAAATTTTGAATAGCCTTTAAATGCAAACTTGGAAAGATCTTAATTGTTTCCTTATATTTTATTATGAAGATCCCGATTATTATTGTATTTTTTAAAGCATTCAAAATGTGTGTCCTTGAACAGTTCCACTCAGGATCTTGATCGAAGTTAAGCAGAATTTGTTAATTAAGGGTCTTGAAGAATATTGTTTTATTCCTGATATTATCCTTCTCTGATTATAACTATAATTCTTCACAGGATTCCTGTAACAGGATCCAGAACAGGTCTTGACTCGAACATATTGAACTCTTGACGAAATCTTCTATATGATCATTGTCAGGCTCTTAGATAGAATTGCCAGCGAGTCTTATAGGGATCCTACAAACTCAATTCATAGAAAAATCCGAGGAAGGACTTGAACAATTCCTGAATAGAGCCTTGAATCGAACTTCATAGGATCCTTGAAATTTATGATCCTGAAAGATCCTTCTAGATTTTCACAAGAAATAAACACGGGTGAGTTGACTAAACAGTAACCTGAAAAGATCTGTGCTAAATTCTTCTATTTTCTAATCAAGATCCTGATTAGGATTCATAATGTCTTGTAAAGTCTGGAAACTCATATTCATGAAAAGTTCTGAAGAAAATCCTTATTGAAACTTTTCTGGATTAGTTAGTTTCGTTTAGTGACTCATCTTGTTATTTTCTTGCTAGGATCCTCGTTTGATGTGGCTATCACTCCTAACAGGGCCCTCATACGAAGATTTGACCTAGATCTTGACGAGAAGTTGATAAAATCTTGGCAGAATCCTCTTTTGTAATCTTGGGTGGATTCTCAATAGGAAATTGAGTCAATCCTGATAGTATCCTGTATTCACGGCTTAGAAAAATATCTAAACAGGACCTTGAAGAAATCCTGAACAGGATCCTGTTTCATCCTGAGAAATCCTGGAAACAGAAATTATTAGAAACCGAAACAGAATCCTGAATAAATCTTGACAAGATCCTCAAATATCCTTCCAGGATTTCTCAAGGAATAATCAGGATTGAGACTAGGGCAGTGAGGAGTGTGGGTTTGGGCGGTCGTGTGTTGGGAGTACCGGGAGGGGATGTGAGTGTTTTTGAGTTTATATGAGTGTCCATGATTGTGGTTTTGGGGTCCAGTCTGTGTCGAAGCGTGCCGGTGTGGGTGTGATTCCGGGTGTGAGAGTGTGATGCGGTTGTTGATGTGTGTAGGTGTGAATAGGGATGTGCCGGATGTGGGTCTCGATATGTTTGTAGGTTGTGAGTATACGTGGGGCTTTGCAACCGACTGGACTATTTTATTCTGTCCGGATCCCGTACCCGGTCCTGGTTAAAGCTTGTTTGTCATTCTGCTCCCAATCTCTGTAAAAGTTTTGGTTCCGGTCCCAGTTTCGTTCTCAGTTAACGTTTTTTATTGCTTCTGATCCTGATTTCATTTCTAGAAAAAACCGATTTTTGTGGGACTCACATATATTTTGCAAGAAAATAATGAGTGTAAGTTTTAAGTTCGATTTTCTACTGCTCCCCCACCCCAACTCCCCATAATAGGCAAGCTCCATTACACACACTCTCACATTGCAGGCCATAACAACTCCATGAGTGAGATAGAAAATAATTTCTGTTCAAGGTATACAAATATTCTAATAGTTTCTATGACTGTTTGACTGCATATTTAAAATGAACATAGATGGTCTTGAGAAAATAACAGTATGCGCATACTTTTATATGCATGCATAAAAATTAAAGAAATACAAAATCACTTTCTTTATCCTTCTGAGAATTTCTCTTGACTCTGGCTGTGCAACTGAGAAATTTCGCTCAGAGTTCACAGGTCTTGCATAGATGAAAAATCTAAGTCAGTGAGCTTCAATCAATGTTCATTCGGGAGTTTCTTTGATACTACCAAAACTTAGGATCTACAGAGCTATGCGTACCTTTTTAAGTAAGAAATGTAGGTGTAGATGTGGCTGTCGGTGTGGGGTATAGATGTGGAGATGTGAAGTCGTAGAAGTGTGTTGACGTGGATGAAGAGAAGAGCTGCGCCCTCACTGACAGTCACCACTACAGCTATAGGCGCAGGCACACATACTCCACACTCATCCAAATTGACAAGTCCATGCTCACAGCCACATACTCACACACCCACCTCACACCTACATTCCACCTTATAATACATCAAGTATTTAGCAATGGTTAGTATATATCCCATTATTTTGGAATATGGCAAGTTATCGTGCATACAAAAAAAGTAATTATAGAAGTGTTTTAATTATATTATATTTGTCATTCATGAATTGACTTGCAATAACATTTGTACTTTTCAAAACATAATCCTCAAAGTTATAGTGCAATAGGGTTACATTTAGTGCGATGCTTAATAAACTATTATTTCTCGAGAATCATTAATACCCTATATCTTTGTGTATGTCCAGAATCCATTTCGATATCTGGTAGGTATAGCTAAGACGACAGCACCGCGGGTGCCATGATCATATCATAAATTATAACTTGATTCGACTATCATTGTTGTACACGAACCTCATGATTTAGAACGATATTTAGCATTTTAGCATGCAAAAAGTTCTACAAGTTATGCATTCAAGATTCGAACGATTTATGATTTTAATTAAAAATAGCACATGTATCAAAATGTTATTTGAGTAGTGTTCATGATATAACAATAATGAGAGACTAAGGATTCTTAGATAGACAAATGAAAAGAATGCCCAACTCCTATCTACTAAAGCTTATGCAGGTGAACAGTTCATAGTCAGATTCTCTGAACTTTGGTAGAAAGAAGAATGTCGAAAGGGAAACTGTCGAAAGGTAAAAATGTCGATAGGTAAAAATGTCAACAGGTAAAATGTCGAAATGTAAAAACATCGAAATGTTGAAATATAAAATATAAAATTATTCAAAGATATACTTTTCAAATATTATTTATAAAGATTTCATCGCAAGTTTATTTTAATTACATTGTGTTCGGTTAAACATCGTGGCGAAGAACAAGTGATGCTCGAAAAATTTTAATGAACTTGTTCAATTGACTTATCAAGAATTTTTCGCTTGTCTTTGATTCAGCTTCTATTTAATAATAAAATTCATTTACATTAAACTGTGGATTATTTTATATGCTCATGAGGGAAGACGTACAACTGATCAAACGCCATTTAAATTTTAGTAATTCCAGTCTGTAGAGCTCATTGAGTTATTAACAGATACAATAATCATTCATGCCCATAGCGGGTTTAAGAATGAATTTTCCACAACTAAAGTTTATATTAAATATCATAGGAGGTCAAAGGTTAAAGGTCAAAGGTTAAAGGTTAAAGGTTAGAAGTCAAATGAGAGGGTATGAGTGTGGATGTGGGTGTTGGTGTGAGCTGAAGACCAACATCCACACCTACACCCCACCCCCACCCACACCCACACACCCACTCACACCCACACACCCACCCACACCCACACCTACATTCACCCAAGGGGGAAAAAGCTGATTCTATGATTCCATTGATTCTATTGATTCTACCTGATTCTATTGATTCTACCTGATTCTATTGATTCTATCTGATTCTATTGATTCTATATGATTCTATTGATTCCAGAATCTGTATGAATATCTTGACCTCTGTCCACTATGATGTTGTCCCATTGGGTTTTTCTCATCGCGGTTTCGGCTAATCAGACTTTTTCATGTTGCAACTTTGGCCAATCAGGTTTTTTCTCGCGGCAGTTTCGACCAATCAGGTTTATCCATACAGTGCTTCCGGCCAATGAGGTATTTTCACAGCGCGGTTTCGGCCAATGAGGTTTTTTCTCACGACGGCTTTGGCCAATCAGATTTTTTTATGCCGCGATTTCTGCCAATCAG